TGCACTGTGACTGAGCTCATTAATATCCCAAAAGAATAGTGTTTATAACACTGATGAAACAAATAAATATGTGCCACATTGTTTTTGAAAATATATGTTGTTTGTTATGTGGATGTAAATATGCTTTGGTCAATCTCTATTATTATGTAAATGATATGCAAATGATATGCAAATTAGTCCGCCACAGTGGTTTAAATTCCTGGGGAGAAACACTGTCTATGTACCAAGTGTCATTGAAATGTGATGATTAGTACTTGAAATATCAAAAGCTGAAAATTAATTAATTATGCAAATTGGGTAATTAATATGTACTCATATTACCCTAAAAACTATCAGGTCTGTGCAGTGTCCTATGACATCTATGTACCAAGTTTCATTGAAATGTGACAATTACTACTTGAAATATCAAAGCTGAAAATTAATTAAGCTAATTAGGTAATTAATATCTACTGATATTACCCTAAAAACTTTCAGGTTTGTGCAGTGTCCTATGACATCTATGTACCAAGTTTTATTGAAATGTGATGATTAGTACTTGAAATATCAGTGGAAAAGCCGAAAATTGACACGCATACACACGCATACACACACACACACACACACACACACACATAAAGACACACTAACTGCAAAGACTCCCTTTTTGTGCTTCGCACACGGGAGTCAAACATAAGATCTATGGTTAAAACCAAGTTCACGACGTGACTGGTAGCAGCAACATCGTCACCGCCGAGCGGAACAAAGGCAGCCATGCTCTAGCATGATCGGTAAACGACCAGCGCAGTCGACATACCATCACAGACATTGCTGATCACCAAGAAGTCCACATGAATGCTTGCTTAAACATGTAAATGTTTATATTTTGACGAATGTCACTATTTAAAGTTGAATTTTCTTTAAATCACTATTTAAAAACCCTGGTAAAACGGCTATCCTTTCAACTCGCATCATAAGTGGAGGAAATAAATTTACTTGTGCTTTTCTTGAAACAAATATTCTGATTGGTTGTTTTTCACGTCAATGCGTGGATTTGGCCAATCAAAGGCATCATTACATAATATCAGGATGCACGCAGTAAAATGAATCGTTTCCGGGTCACTGCTGTTTTTAACGAAGCAGACAACAAACTTTCGATACGAATGAAAATTCTTCTTCTAAGTATGTATTTTTTTTATACATAATTCTATTATTTTTGATAGTAACTGTTAACTGCAGATCGAAAATCTTCTATTGTGTAGACTTTATTTTGTTTGATCATCTTTCTTTTTGGTGCCGATGACGCACATTCATGCAAGTATTTCAATGAACCAATTACGAACGTTTGTGCGACATCATAAATTTTGTTTGCTTCGTCCAAATAAATATAAATTACAATTTTTGCTAAAAATTAAATAAAGCATGTACATGTATGTATCTATTTGGTAAAACTTTTACGTCTTTTTTTTGACGTGATCATTACTGGTAAACAACTGATGTCGCCGCGTGATGAATCGTGCAGCTAAAACCAGCTGATTGTACGTACTGACATTTACTTAATAATAGCACTTAAAAATTCTCAATATTTTTGTAATAATAAATATATATATATATTATGCATATGTAATGTAGATTAATACCATGTAGATTACCATTTTTTCAACGCCCATGATGCAAGATACGAATAGGCCACGCCCACTTTACATTGGCGCGCCATGTTTAATTTTCAAACCGTGGAGAACCCTGCAGACTGAAAAGTCAATTACAGATTTCACAGAATTAATTCATGTATTCAAATTACATGAAACTCACAAGGTAATTGTAATATTTGGTAATAAAAATTTAGGTCTTTTAGAAGAGAGTAAATTTAATTACTGTGAATATAAAATGCAACCGAACCAACATAAAGCAAACAAAATAGTAATTCAAATGTAACAGTTTGTAATGATAAGCTGATATTAACATTGCTACTGTATTAGTATTAGTAAAACAGTGAGCTATAATATTTCAAAACTGCTGGTTGGTTTGATTTTTTGATCACAGTAATGGTTCAAAAATATAAAATGGATCCAAGCAAGAAATTAAGCTCATCTACATAAAACATTTTTACAAAACATCTACTGGATAAACGATGAAATTTGACAATAGTTGCTTGAAAAGTGTTGCTTTGTTGCGAACTGTGAAACGATTCTTGGTCAGTGTTTATAATATGCAAATTAGATAAAAACAAATACCATGGCAGTCTAGGAGATCCTGGTTTGTACCTGTCCATGTGACTTTGGAAATAGGAGAATACCGAATACAACACTTCAAATAATAAATCAATATGTATTGAATTCGAAGTATACTTCTAACAGAACGTCTTAATTTTTAAATATCGAGTTTGCGTTAACGATTTAACCGACAAACTCGGCTTTTTGAGTGACACACATAATGGCGTCCAAAATAGCGCCCTCTGTCGACGAACCGATTAATTGCATTTGTTGTTTTTACACACAAAAAACGAGCTTGGAAAGCAATATTTGAAATAAAAATGAACTGTGAAGTATGCAGACAATTAATAATTTGTTCAGCGCGATTAAACTAAAGGCAACGTTTGGTTCGGACGGTTCTAAGCTCGTTTTTCGGTGCGATCAAGCCCCGATTCGCGTCAGTCCGCACATTCTGAAAGTGACGCTGACATTTTTAAAGGGATTTCTCTTTAAAAAAACAGGCAGAATCGAAATCAAATTAAGTCAACATGTACATACCTATCGTAGAATTGTTGATGGGCAATTTTCCTCCAGGAAGGTTGTCAGTAACGTCCAGAAAACGAATTTGCTTCGAACAAAGGCTCACACCACTTGCACAGCGTCAGCCATGTTAGCTTCGGAAGATGAACTCCCTAGGTGACGTACTATTATGAAGCTGGCACACCTAGGCATGTCATTCTAATGGTACATAACAATATCACTCGTCATCGTATATGCGTCTTTAGCAGTGATAAAACGTGTTAAAAATACACAGCTCAGCGTCACATATCAAATATCTTTATTCAGCATTCTATTCTACATTATTGTTGCAAAATTTAAAGACGAAATCGGTAATTATTGAAACAAAATAAGGAGATAAAATGTTCATAATTTTACCTATTTTAGAAACAGATCTTGTCAACTCTATCTAAACATTCATATATATAAAATAAAAAACTTATAAAACTAAGTAATGGTCCTATAAAAAAAATGTTTGGTACACTTTGGTAAAATCAAAATCGTTGAGGGCGCACTACACTGCGTTTGGACTCTAGACTTGAAGCCAGAGTTGCAAAAAGTGACCACTTGAGACGCCAGGTGCATGGTTAACAGTGTTGTGCAGTTTTTTTTTTTTCCATTTAACAGAATAATAGCAAATAATTTCACATTAAACTGTGTAACTAATACACTTATGTTATACACGGGAGAACATGCATTATTTTGTGGGTAAGCAAGAAGCCAGGGGAGGGGGGAGGGGGCACAGGCCTTTCAGTTTGGTAGTGGTGTGCGGTCAGGAAGTAAAACCCCAGACCAAACCATACCTCATTATAACCAAATTATGATTTTGTATATTCGACTTGAAACCGAATTGTCACTAAATTTATTCAGTTATAGGTTGAATCTACTCATCATGCAGACTTGTCAATAAAAGTTTTAAAAAGTAATTGGGTAAATGCACAAATTAAAAATAACAGACCCCATCCCACAAGCCCCATTCTTGACAAACCTGATATTGAACCAAAAGGCAAGCAAATCTAGACCCAATCTAGACTAAACAGCTAAAAATTACGACCCCCTCAAATGACGAGACGTCCCCATAATGTGATTTGCATTTTATTTTGCCTTTTGATTTTAAAAATCTACTGGACTTTTTAATGGTCAACCCTTTATATATGAAGGAACACTAAAATAGAATTAGAATAGTCTTTTCCGATAAAAAATTGTAAATTTCAAGAAATCAAGGCTGGTGCTTTCCATGTATTCAAATATATTCATGATTTGTTATCATAAACTCATAACGTGTATAGGATGTGACTGGTGCAAATATATTATATCATTTACTAATCACTAAATTAATGTTAATTTTTTAAAAATTTGCAACAATATTAGGATCCTTATCAAAAATAATATACAACATACTCGTCCAATGTCAACGAACAAAATTTCAAAATACAACAAAATGTTTTCACCATTGGATCAAATATACAAAAACTTACATTACAACAGTTGATTTATTCTTTTACTGTAAGATTTTGAATAATGTTCATAATGTGCAAATTTGTCACTGAAATCAATTTTTCTTTTTTTTAATAGTTCAATGTGTAAGTGGGGGGGGGGGGGTAGTAATCATTCACAATCAAGAAAGCTAAACAAAAATATTGATAACTTTTTTCTTTAAAATTATTTCTTTATTGATAACAAGTTTACGATTAAATATCACATACAAATAATAGCACACAAGTTTAACCTTTTTACCACCAGTTTTCTCCTTTCATCACAAATTCACAAAATAGTCCTGTTTATAGTCTGCACTTTCCTTCAGATGATTGGGTAAAAAATAGTCAAATTTTTTGAGTAAAAACAGAAAATTCACTCAAATTTTGTCTGTTGGCTCCAAAATTAGGTTACATTTATAGAAATATTGAAAAATATAAGAAAGTGTAAAAACATTT